GGCATCATTAAATTAGGAACATTGCATGTTACTTCCACTAGCATAGTAAAATCAAAATGTGATTAAAGATGTTAAAAACATAGCTTCCCAAACTTTGCAACCATGACTTCAGTAGGCCTTACAGATACTCCCATCCTACATTGATAAGTACTTCTGTTCATAGACACCCAAAGGTGTCCAGGAAGTTAGCACTACTCTTAGTTGTGAGATAATCTTAGGCGCTAGGTGTTACCACCAATGACAGGGCTCACTTGCCAACTCTCCGTTAGCCCAGGGCCACCCACCCAGAGATGACAGAGCGATAATGTGGCATGGGGGGACACTGCTCAGCCTCAGGATCAGACATGGGGCCTCATCTGCTTTTCTCCAGTTATTTTACTGTCCAGAGTCCCAGCTTATTCTTGTCTGCCTCATCCAAATTCACCATTCTTCCTTGACCCTTTCTTACCTCCTCCAGACCCCATGAGTAGACTGCTGGCCACAACCAAGTCCAGCCAGTGGGAAGCTATTGAAGGCTTCCTTCTAGGACAATGTTTCTCAGAGTGCAGTTCAGGGAGCCCCGAGGCCCTGGAGACTCTTCCTGGGGTCCAGAAGGTCAGATCTGTTTTGATAATGATCATTGTTGATGATAGTTGCCATTGTGTTTTCTTCCAACTTATGGTGACCTTATGTGTGACAGAATGAACTGTTGTCTGGTCCTGCGTCATCCTCACTGTCGATGGCAGGCTTGAGCCCATTGTTGCAGACACTGTGTCAGTCCATCTTGTGGAGGGTTTCCCTTGTGTTCACTTCATGATACTAGATTGGTATTTGCCTTTCTCACCTACTGTCATGAGTAGACAGTGGCATTTCCCAGAGATGCTGTGATGTGTGTTGCCATAATAGATGAATACAGGACAGACACAAGAATCCAGCTCTTCTACTAGGGCAGACATGAAACAGATTTACAAGAATGTAGAATAATGCCATTATGCCATCATCCTCACTGAATATTTTTGTTTTGCTTTGGAAAACAAGTATTTTTCATAAAAAATATACTATTTATGTTAACATGTAGTGAGTTTATTGTTATTTTAATGAATCAATAAATAAGTATTTTATAAATGACTCCATTTTAATTCATGAGACAGTAAATATTAATAGGTATAACTCTTACTTTGGGGTCCTCCATAATTTTTAAGAGTGTAAAGATGTGCTAAGACCCAAGAGTTAGAACCACTTCCTTAAAAAACAAAACAAAATTCACTGAGTCGATTCTGCCATAGATCCTGTGTCTTACAGAGTACACTGGGCTCCATGGAGTTTTTTGGCTTAATCTCTACAGAGGCAGATAACCAGGTCTATTTTCCATGGTGTCACTGGGTGGGTTTGAACTGCCAACATTTCAGTTAGTTGCTGAGGCAAGCTCTCTGTGACAACAATATTCTAGTCCCATGTCCTGGCCCTTTGCAGACAGTAGGAACTCCAGAATCCATTGTGTAAGGTGCCTTCTCCACATGCATGTCTACCACCTGCCACCTACTCATCTACCAGCCTGTGACCTGCCAGTTTTGATGGTGGCCCACAGATGCACAGGGGCATCAGCTTCTTGCATATGCCTTTTGGAATCTGCCCACAGATCGATCTGAAGAAATTTGATGCATTGCATGGCACAGTGTAAGGCTCTTAAAATGACCCTCTGACTCTAATAAACAAAGTCATAATCCTACACTTTACCAATGGACTTGATCATGGGTGCCCTCCCTTGCATCTTCATGGGGGGCAGAGAAGGAGTGGCCAGCGGTGAGGCCATCACAACAAGGAGTGGAGGAGAGACCAGGAGACAAGACACTTGGCTTGGGACACACTCTGAGACAGGTCAAGTGCTCTGTGGCCTAACTCCCATGGGACCCCGTGCCCACCCACCACATCAAGGTAGATGAGGTGGCCAAAGTCTCCACTTGAAGCACTGGGATTTGGAAAATTGAGGATGTGTTTGCTCAAACAACCATGGTTACATAGTTACTGAAATTCAACCCCATTGAGCATATAAATAGGCCGTAATTGAAGATATGCGGTTTTGAGGAGGTAAGGAGTACTGTTTTGAACACACCAGTCATAGGTCCGACATTTGAAGAAACTTGAGTTGAAACTTGAAGTGATGCAGAAAGCATGATCCAGAACCAGGTCCAGAGAACCTGGAGACACTATCAACATGCTTATGCTACCATTAGGGACACTTTGTGAAACCTGTACATGGGCCCCAGTCTATTAGACCCAAGGATGTCCATGCCAGCATTAAGGAAAATGGCAGACTAGCCTGTGACTTGCAAGCAGGGTAAGATCTCAGAGTCTCCGCATATTGGTGAGACGGAATCTGGGGGCAGGGAGCTTGAGTGTGAGAATAGGAAGTTGGGAGTTCCCTTTTGGCCATGTGAAGTCTGTTAAGACTTTTGGACATGTAAGAGGAGACAGCTTATAGACAGGTGGATGCCTGTCTATAAGTGTGGAGGTGTTGGGTGGGGGTTTTGGCTGGAGATAAATTTGGGGTCATTAACATATAGATTACATATAGATAGGAGTGCCTAAGGCACTTGACTGCTAACCAGAAGGCTAGTGGTTCAAACCCACCAGCCACTCCTTGGAAGGAAGGTTGGGCAATCTACTTCCATAGTGATACTGCCTTGGCAACGCAAGGAGGGGTCACTATGAGTCGGGTCCGACTCGATGGCACATAACAACAACAACAACAACAATGTATAGATATTGTTTGAGCCATGGGGCTGGAGTTTGGGAGGAGATAGACACATAGTTACACACACCTAGGGAGAATGAGCTTAGGGTCCTGAGGCACTCCAACACTTGAAATCTAACCCGAAGGTTGGTGGTTTGAATCCATCCAATGGCTCTGAAAGAAAGACCCAGTGATCTGCTTCCCTAAAGATCACAGTCAGGACAATCCCAAGGAGCAGTTCTGCCCGGAACACACCGGTCTCTGGGAGCCAGGGCTGATGTGAGGGCAGCTGACCGTCACAACAAGGAGCGGAGGAGAGGCCAGGAGATGAGACAGAGAAGGAGGGGCCAGTAGCGAGATCAGGGGGTGATCATTCCACACTTATGTTGCAACTGGAATACTCGGAGCAGCACGTGACCCCTACCCTGGCGGAAGAAGTCGACAGTGTAGAACAACTGAACTTGGAGTTTAGTGGTTCTCCATCTTGGATGTGCACCAGAGACACCTGGAGTGTTTAAGAATCCACAGATGCTTGGGCGCTGCTGCATCAGGATGTTGATCCCCCACCAGGTAGGTTGAGGCAGCAGCTCACGTTGAGGGCCCTGGGTTTGTGGCTTTGGGAGGCTCTCCTGCTCCCTCCCTCTCAGCACATTAATTCGGGAATAGAAGTTAGACACTGATGAGAACTCTGTCAAGCAGTGGGAGGAAACTGCGTTATCTGCGTACTTTAGCAGCAAAATTTGCGCTGAGACAACTTGAGTGATAACCTGCACCGAGTACCTGGACCGTGTGTCCATGGGGCTGCAGGGAAGGAGATAGGCTCAAGTGGAAAGTAGCCTGAACTGCCCAAAGCCTGGGTACATGGAGGACATAGTACCGGTAGTGTTGGTAAGTGTTTTGTTGTTGTTGATGTTATGTGCCGTCGAGTCGGACCCGACTCATAACGACCCCTCCTTGAGTTTCCGAGGCAGTATCACTATGGAAGTAGATTGCCCCATCTTCCTTCTGAGGAGTGGCTTGTGGGTTTGAACCATCAGCCTTCTGGTTAGCAGTCAAGTGCCTTAGGCACTACGCCACCAAGTAAGTGTTGGTGGTGTCCAAATTGGGCTGGAAGGACTGAGAGATCTGGAAAGAGATGGCTTCGGGGGCAGTATTTGGTTGTACACTCTGTCTCATTAATTGGCCTTTCCAAATGATCCTCTTCCTTACTCCTTAATCCCAGGTCAGAGGAGGCTGCCCTTGCCCGTTGTTTCCTCTTTCTCTGATCCCCCCTCTTTCCCATTTCCTCTGTCAGACTCCCCCCTCCCATTTCCTCTGTCTCTGACTACTCCCTGTCCTTATTATTCTTAATCTCGTGCCTATTTATCAGAGATTTTTACTTTGGTCCACAATCAATGCCCATGGAAGCAGTAGTCAAAAATCAAATGACATATTGCGTTGGGCAAATCTGCTGCAAAAGACCTCTTTAAAGTGTTAAAAAGCAAAGATATCACTTTGAGAATTAATGGACACCTGACCCAAGCCATGATATTTCCAATCACCTCACATGCATGTGAAAGCTGGGTAATGAATAAGGAAAACCAAAGAAAAATTTGAATTATGGTGTTGGCAAAGAATATTTAATGTACTAGTAGTGTAGTACCTAAGGCACTTGACTGCTTACCAGAAGCCTGGGTGTTCAAACCCACCAGCCACTCTTCAGAAGGAAGGTTGGGCAATCTACTTCTGCACTAATACTGCCTCAGAAACCCAAGGAGGGGTCATTCTGAGTTGGGTCCAACTTGACGGCACATAACAACAACAACAACAGCCAGTAGAATGTGTAAATCTGTCTTGGAAGAAGTACAGCTAGAAACCTCCTTAAAAGTATGGACGGAGAGTCTTCATCTTACATGCTTTGGACATGTTATCAGGAGGGACTTGTCCCTGGAGCAGGACATCATGTTTAGTAAAGTAGAGGGTCAGCAAAAAAGAGGGAGGCCCTCAACAAGATGGACTGACACAGTGGCTGCAAAAATGGGTTCAAACATAGCAATGATTGTGAGGATGGTGCAGCCTGGGCATTGCTTTGTTGTACCTGTGGTCGCTCTGAGTAGGAACAGACTTGACAGCACCTCCCAACGTCTCCACCACACACATAACATCCCAAGGACTAGGAGCCCTTAAGGCCTAGGCTCATTCCCATTCCTGCTGTGTGCTCCCTAGTGCCAAGCAAACAGACATGGCCCCTAAAATTGAGGGCATGTTATCTATCACAAATGCCTGGACCATTTCCCTTTATCTTTAATGGTATCCTCTCTTCTCCCCACCCATCAAGGGGTCTCTGTGTCCCTGTGCTTGTCATGTAGGGAAGACTAGGGTAGAGCAGACAGTAGCCTGTGCATCTTCTTTTCCCCACACAGAGAAAACTAGGAAGAGGGGATAAAGCCTTTATTCACCCTCCAAAGTCAATGTGAGGTTTCCAGCAGAGGAGGTGGCTGGAAAGGAAATGGCAGGCTCAGGTTGCTCAGAGCCCACATGGAATGGCTGCAGAAGCTGGGCTGAGGGGTGGGGGAGCACGGGGGAAGGTCTGTGTCTGCTGGGAGGGTAGAGCTGTGGAGAGGGAACAGGGTCAGTCTGTAGCCTGCAGGGTGGCTAAGAGCCATGAGAGGGCTCCCTGCATGACCAGGAGGGTGGCTAAGGGGAGGGCTCGAGGGCCAGAGGGGCCAGCGCCTGGGAGGGCCACAGGTGAGGCCCTGAAGCCTGCAGGAGTCTTGTCCTGGGGCTCCACCTTGCCCCCAGTGGACTCCAAACAGGGCCCCCGAGGAGTAGGCATGATGTCAGGGATCCAGCCTGTGGTGTTCTCCACCACTTCCTGCATGAGCAAGGACATGGGTGAGGGTGGAAATGCCTGCATCCCATTCCTTTCCTGAGATGGTAACTGCCATCCCCAGTCCACTAGCCACACCCACAACCCAGGACAGCAACAGCATGCACTGCTTCCCTGGCCCTCCCCCTCCCCCACCCCTGTTCCCAGCACTGCATTAACCACCCCACCCCCGTCCCTCTCTTGTCCCATACCCACCACCTCTAGGGCACCAGCATCTCGGGACACTCACATCAATGGTCTTTATGATCACTGTCTGCTGTGCCTCCTTGCAGGCTTTCTCTGCCTTCTTGATGTTCTCTGGGGTCCACTCAATGTTGTTCATGGCCATCATGCCCTCCATGGAGCTGCCACAGGTGGTGGGACCAGGAGTGGGGACAGATGGCAGTTCAGGGTGAACTGATGGCTTGGGCAGGATGTTTGTTCCCAAACCACCCCCACTTTTGGTAGCATCAGTTCCATGTCAGCATAAACCATGAGGCATGTGTTACTTCATGAGACAATCATGGTGAGTTTGACTAAAGGGAAACACCATCGGATCTCAGAGATGGGAATAAAATGAAAGATAGGATCTTCGGACCAAATCTGGGGCCACTAGGGTCCAAGAAGTTGAGGGGTTGTCTTCAGGAACCTTCAAATGCCCTGAAACCGTGTGTGGAATGGGCTGTGTCTCTACCCAGGAGCATTCTTCTTGGGAAGAAATTTCTGGTCTTTGCTCAGCATCAGTGAGAACCCATAGCCCCACGAGTAAGAATCACTGCTCAGAAGTTAAAATACAATCTGACAGAGTCAGTGCATGGGAAAGAGGCAGATGAAGAGCTTGGACATGGGCACTCTGGCTTCTGAGGGTCAGTGCTTATCCACCCACTCAGAAGCGGCCCCCCTGATGTAGAGAAAACCCACTGGCTTCCCCCCTTGTTTTATCTGTGACACACAGACCATGCAGGGTGGGGTGACGAGGATGGGGGCATCAGGCAGCCCTTGGAGGATCCCAGAGTGAGGGACAGTGGGAGGGTGTCCCTTCCCTCCTCCCTCATTCTCCCCGGCCCTCTTGCACATCCAAGCGCCTGTGTCCCAGGCTGACTCACTCGGATGCCTCCTCCCCCAGCTCGTGGGCCACATAGATGATGTCATGGTACCCCATGCAGCTGGAGATGTTGTTCCGAGGGTAGTAGAAGAGGAAGATGAGGCACATCTCATTGATGGTGCTGGGGCCCCCCTGGGGGGAGACACAGATGGAGAGACAGAGATGGGCATATGAAGAGACAATGGTGGCCCGGGAGAGGGGCAGGCAGAAACAGGCGAGGCACCATCTGCCAACCACGCTGTTCCCTGTTTTCCCTCAATCTAGGGCCAGCTTTTTGCTGTTGCTGTTGCTACCACACCTCCCTCTCCAGGGAAGTATCCCACAGACCTGCCTTGCCCTCTACCCATCCACAGCCACAATCCTGGTTCCAGATGAACTTCAGCCACCCAACTAGTCCCCCACCACCCATTTCTCCCGACTGCCATCTGAGCACACCACAGCCGCCAGCCTGGTTTGCTCAAGATGTTCCTTGGGCCCTGTCATCTGCCTCCCCACAAGCTCCAGTGGCACACATCGTCCTTGGCGTAAACATACACACGTTGCTGTTGCTGTAACCTGCCGTCGAGTCAGTTCTGACTCAGAGTGACCTTATGTACACCAGAAGGAAGCATTGTCTGGTCCTGCACCAGCCTCACAGCTGTTGCTACGCTTGAGCCTGTTGTTGGAGACACTATGTCAATCCACCTCTTTTTCACTGACCCTCTAGTTTACCAAGCACGATTTCCTTCTCAGGGTCTAAGCCGTCCTGATAACCTGTTCTAAGTACGTGAGTCAAAGTCTTACCATCCTCACACCTAAGGAGCATTCTGGCTGTACTTCTTCCAAGGCAGATCTGTTCATTCTGGCATATACATATATGCACATACATATGTACGTACAAGCCAGTGTGTGCATCTATATCTGGGTGTACAGTTAACAAGGTCAGCTACTAATTGAAAGGTTGACAGTTCAAGTCCACCCAGAGGCACCTGGGAAGAAAGGCCTGGCAATCTAAAAGTCAGCCACAAAAACTTCTATGGAGCACAGTGCTACTCTGACATGTACAGGGTCACGAAGAGCAGGAGGTGACTCCATGGCAACTGGGCTTTGGTTTCTTAATATTGTCCATGTAGCTATCTATCTATCTATCACATCATAGCTATAAAACTATTTATCATCTATCCGTCTATTATCTATCTCTCTACTATCTATCTGTCTATCAACCAATCTACTGGTCATCTATCTATCTACCCATCTGTCTGTCTGTCAACTATCTGTCTGTCTATTATCTATCTTCTGTCATCTATCTATCTACCCATCTATCAAATTGTGGATAACATTGAGAAGAATGGGAATTCCAGATCACCTAATTGTACTCATGAGGAACCTGTACATGGACCAGGAGGCTGTCACTCGAATGGAACAAGGGGACACTGCATGGTTTAGAGTCAAGAAGGGAGTGGATCAGTGTTGTGTACTTTCCCCACACTTATTCAATCTATATGCTGAGCAAGTAATCCGAGAAGCTGGACTATATGAAGAAAAACGTGGCATCAGGATCAGAGGAAGAATCATTAACAACCTGCGATACGCTGATGACACAACTTTGCTTGCTGAAAGTGAGGATGACTTGAGGGACTTACTAATGAAGATTGAAAAATACAGTCTGCAGTGTGGATCACATCTCAATATAAAAAAAGATACAAATCCTCACAACTGGACTTTTAAATGGCATCACTATAAATGGAGAAAAGATTGAGATTGTCCAAGACTTCACTTTGCTTGGCTCTACAATCGACACCAATGGAAGCAGCAGTCAGGACATCAGATGATGTATAGCATTGGGCAAGTTGGCTGGAAAAGATCTGTTTCAAGTGCGGAGGAGCAAAGATGTCTCCTTGAGGACTAGGGTGCACCTGACATAGCCATGATATATTCAATCTCCTCAAATGCATGTGAGAGCTGGACAATGAATAAGGAAGACCGAGGAAGAGTTGATGCTTTTGAGTTGTGGTGCTGGCAAAGAATAGTGAAAGTACCATGGACTGCTAAAGAACCAACAGATCTGTCCTGGAGGAAGTGCAGCCAGAATGCTCCTAGGAAGCAAGAATGGCCAGACTTTGTCTCACCTACTTTGGTCATATTGTTAGAAGGGACCATTCCCTGGAGAAGGATGTCATGCTTGGCAAGGTAGAGCGTCAACGAAAGAGGGGAAGGCCCTCAATAAGATGGATTGACACAGTGGCTGTGGTGATGGGCTCAAGTATAGCAGGGACTACAGAGCTGGCAAGGGCCCAGGCAGTGTTTCGTTCTGCCATGCATGGGGATGCTATGAGTTGGAAACGACTCAATGGCACCTAACAACAACAACATCAACAATATCTATCTATCTATATATCATCTATCATCTATGTAATAAACCCCCACCCATTCAGTCATTCACTTGGAGAATACTTGAGAGCAACAGAGTCAGATATTGTCCTGAGATACCGATGGTACAGTGTCACCTCTGCTTCAAGGGCTCCTCCCAACTCCATGTCCTTCCTCCCACGCCTTCAGATGTCATGTCCCATTCCTTAACTTCCCTGTTCTTCCTACACACCTCATGCTTTCCTCTTACATGATTTTCCCAGTCTTCTTCTCTAGAGTCCCCATCCCTATGTGTCAAAAGCAAGACAAACTCAAACGTGTAATAAATTCAGTTCACTTTAGTAGGACCTTAGGATTTTTCCTATGAATACCCCAGTGCATTATGCCTAAGCGTACTTTCTACCTTTTACTAATAATCTGTGTGGCAGCCTTGTCTTCCTCTGTAGCCTTCAACCCCTTTGCCCCACCAACCATTCCTGATGCACAGATGGGTGGCATTCCCCATGACCATGATAACAGCAACTAACCCTCTTGGGCACCTGCCACAAATCACACATGGGTCTAGAGGTTTTCGTGCACAGTTAGTAATTCCTCTATGAATAAGGAAACTGAGGCATAAAAGAGGTAGAGGAACTGTCTAAGGTCAGAAAGCTACTGAGTGGTTGAGTTGACATTCACACCCACGCAGTGAGGCCCAGGGTCCATGCTCTTAGTTGCTGGAACACACTGTCTCCCCTGACCTGATGGGCCACTGACGGAGAAGGTAGCAAGTCCCTGTACCCCCCGCAGATGCCTGGGGGTGGGAGAGAATGCGGAGCCCCAAATGATAGAGTAACACTATTGGAGGGAGGAAGGGGGTTCGGCTGGATCCATCAGAGTCAGTTAGAGTCACGACACTGGGGGGCATTGCCATGGTGACCGTGATGGGGAAGCACGCACTTACGAAGGTCAAGGACTCTCGGTCCAGAGTCTGGTAGTGACACTCCACCAACAGTTCATCTCCCTGTTGGGGTGGAGCAGACATGCTGAGAGTGAGACAGGGCAGTGGCTGATTAAACGACACGCAAACGCAATGCACAGCTGTAGACTCCGATCGGACTCGTAGCGACCCCTCCTTGGGTTTCTGGGGGCAGTATCACTACTGAAGTAGATTGCCCAACCTTCCTTCCCAAGAGTGGCTGGTGGGTTTGAAGCATCAGCCTTCTGGT